TAAATACGGATCAGGGGAGAATGCCACAGCCATATCGCGATACATCCGTGAACAGTTTCCTGAGACGACAAATATTGTTCACCACCCCGTCGTTATCAATAATCGAGGGATGATATATTCCACCTCAGCCAAACATCTTACCGCACTCGGGATGACATCACTTGATATTTCTGACCTCTGTGTTTCTACTCTTCGTCTGACTCTGAAGGTCTACGACACCGACATGCGTGGTGCATCATCACGCCTTACATAACATGCACCCATCATCATCATCATCATCATTATACATGTCAGCTAGAGATGGTAAAACACCTCCGCTATTGTACCGCAATACATAAAGGAAATACATACATACATACAATACATAAAGGAAAAAGAAATACGACAGTTGAATGCCAGCTGAGCTACCAGCAACGGATACGCATCGTTCCGGTAAGCTACTAGCCGACTACTAGGCAAAAACAAAAATTTAATTACGTTTTACCCTACGAAATAAGATCGTAGATGGAGGGGGAGGCTAAAGGGATGGGGAGGGACAAAGAAACTCACAGCATGCACAACATGCACCCAATCACACACGGTGACAACTGACACGTCTCCGACCACTGTTTGAAGTTTTTTATTTCAATCAGAGTTTCCTATTCTGCCGGGACATTCGTCCTCTCTTGGCATATTGCTGTACAGCTCATCCTCGAGCCATGCATGCAAATGTCAAAAATAAATGTTAATGGCATCAAGTTGCTGAGTTGTGTGGGCAAGGTGATTGCCCGAATCCTGCTCAACCGCCTTTTCAGTCAGGTTGTGGAACCGAATGTGGCGGAAGAGCAACGTGGATTCCGCTCGGGTCGTAGCACTATAGATATGGTGTTTGCGGCTGGTCAGTTGCAGGAGAAGTGCAGAGAACGACACCAGCCGTTGTACCCGCTTTTTGTTGATTTCACCAAGGCATTTGATACAGTGAACCGCGAGGCATTGCGGCTGGTGTTGGGTAAGTTTGGTTGCCCGCGTAAGTTTGTAAGTTTAATTGAATGTCTGCACAGTGGTATGCGAGCGCGGGTGCAGCTGAGTGGAGACCTCGGATGACTTTGCAGTTGTCTCTGATGTGAAGCAAGGCTGTGTGTTAGCTCCTGCCCTGTTTAATATATATCTTCATGCCATGATATCTTGTGCTTTGGTGCCGCTTATGCTTACGGTGTTCGTGGATAGCACCGTATTGATGGTGGGTTGCTGAACATCCGTCGTTTCGGTGCGAGAACCCTAGTCAGTGGGGCAACTATCCATATGTTGATGTTCGCTGACGACCCTGTGTTGTCTGCACACAGCGCGGATGAATTGCAGCACATGACTAGTGCTCTGGTTTCGACAGCGGCCAAATTCGGGCTCACCATCAACACAAGCAAAACTGTCTGTCTCTTTCAGCCTTCACCGGAGGTGCAATCTTCAATATTGCCGCGAATCAGCATTGGTGCTGAAGTATTAGAAACCATCTCCCGCTTTTGCTACCTTGGGAGTGTGATGTCGACTGATCAGCAGATACACAGTGGGCTGCGTATCCGCGTGTCGTAGGCAGCGGCGGCATTCAGGAAGCTTGAGTACCGAGTGTGGAACAACCATCAGCTTACCATTGGCACGAAGCTGTTGGTGTACAAATCCATGGTGCTGTCCGTTCTTCCATACGGCAATGAAACGTGGACGATGTACCGGTGGGATGTGCGATATTTCGAGTGGTTCCAACAGCAGTGTTTGGGACGGATTTTGTGCATCGGTTGGGGCGACAGAGTTGCGGACACGGAAGTGTTGCGGCAAAGTGGAATGTATGCAGTGAACTGCATATTTTGCTGAGACATCTGAGATGGATCGGTCATGTGAGCCGTATGGATTCGACGCGGATAACAAAACAACACTTATATGATCAGCTGAGTATTGGAAAGCAGCATGTGGGGAAACCAAAGTTACGTTACCAGGATCTGATCAAAGTGAGCCTCTCACGTTCTAATCCTGACTGCAGGTCATGGGAATCGAAGGCGGTTGATCGGCGTTCATGGCGCGATCTAATCACGAAGGCAGTTGCCGAACTGCGAGAGAAAGACCTCATACATGCAGAGAAGAAGCGGCAAGTGCGGAAGCGGCAATCACCGATGTATTGTACTCCATCGACATCGAGCGCATGGTGCTGTAGCACATGCGGTCGCGAGTGCCTGAGTCAGGCAGGCCTAGCGAGCCATGAGCGAGGCCACTCGGGACCACTACCGAGGCGACGACGGGTCCTGCAGAGCGTAGGCAGAACCGGCGCAGCGTTTGTAGGTACGCTGCATTCGATTTACTAACCGCGTGCTTGCACGCTAAGTCTGTTTATTTCAGGTGGTGGGTTTTCAATTTTGTCCTATGCTTTTCTTTCTCAGATGAATGTCCACCTGTACGCTCTTCTATAAAATTGCACACGTCGCTTAAGCCAATTGTAGTTAATTTCGATAACATTTTCGTGTTTGTGGCATTTCCGTAAAATACACTTTCTGACCTCGTGAACTTATCTCGGATTCTTTTGTAAACAACTTATTTCATATGCTCATTAATTTAAGATTTATGTCACCGTTTCCTTATGCATTACTCGATTTGTTTTCTTTGTTATCTTTCTCACAAGTGATTGGCTGTTGTTTGATATCCCCTGTGTGGCTACGCTTGATGTGCACTTCGACAAGTTGCTTGCCTGTCTTTTACCCACTACCTCGTCTATACTGGCTGGAGGAGACGGGGTGCAAGGTCCTTGTGACCGGGCTGGGCTCGAAGAGTGGTTCCATGCACTGAGTGTGGAGCGGACTACGGTTCAGCCACCGCCTTGTGTGCGCTTGATTCTCCACAAATAGCGTGCGTGTGTTTGCCTGTGAAGGAGTGTGGGCCGGCTCCGTTGATGAAACGTGGCTCCCATCCACATGCCTCCCGGTCTTATTCCTTCGGGTTTACACTGGATATGGGGTGTGTGGGTGGTGCAACGCAAGCCACCCATGGTCCCTCTGGAGGCGCAGGCGTCCTATGGCTGTTCACAGTCTGAGTTATAGTAGAGTTGTGATGGAGTTATAGTTGGTGGTTGTGTAACAGTGTAGGCACTACATAGCAGTGCGGATGTGCTGTTTCTGTTGATAACAAGTACGATGGTCGACTGCCTACTGGAAGAGCGCTTGGGTGGAGACTGAAGGATATCGAGTCGTTCTATTCAGTTATAAAATAAATCAATATACGGTATATTGCACTACAGCGCGAGATGCAGTCCAACTAGTTGATCGGATCAATTGGTATATAGCAAGATAGTATAAAACAGGGATAATTGTTCGGGTTGCTCGAGACGGTTACCAGAGGAATTTTCAGAGTGACTGATCAGTTAAATGTATAAGAAAGATAGAGGTGTTGGCAGTAAAAAATAGAGATGTTGGCCAAATGTCCAAAGGAAGTAATACAGCTAAGACGCTGGTGTCGGATAGATGGAACACGACGTCGGTGTGGTAACTCGTCTCATGAGCTCGAGACACACTGTGCAAAGGTCTTGGAACGAAATGCAAATGAGGGTGAAAGGCCACCCCAAACAAGGGTTGCAAAATGATCGGCAACTAGAACCAACAGCTTGCTTTGTAATCTGAGGGTGCGGGTTCGAGACTGCGTGGGAACCGGACGACCCTCGCAGTGTCTTTAGCCCGCGCGCGCGACTGGTGGTGGTTGCGTGGCGCGGTTGTATTCCTTGCAAACTTATGTCCATATTTTTGGATTATTCTTTGCCAGATATTTACGCTGTATTTGTTTTAACTGGTAGTCATTTTACAGCCGTTTCTTACCTACCTTGATACTAGTGTTTATTTTATTTCCTCCCTGAGTCCACTAGGAACGGGGACTTCTCAAGGTGTTTTAATCGATCGATGAAGTTGGACTGCGCCTCAGCGGGAGTTTAAAAGAATGGCTCATCCACGAAAGTCCCATTTCCGCTTTGTGGTCAGACTGCGCTGATCCAGATCGACGGGACATCCGTTAACGGAGGATATAACCCCAGCACGCACATGAGAACACAGATGCGAACTTGTGGTACAGAATCGGAAACGAATAGCTCGCCGTCCATGCTTTGAGCAGTGTGATGAAAGCAGGTTATAGGAACACGCACAGTTCCGCGAAGATTTGGTTGCGGGAATGTCTCCTAGTTGTACGAGCAGTTATCGCACGAGAGCATGAATGACAACTGGCGCAGTGACAACAAATGACTGATACTTCGTTTAACTATTTTGACCGCATTTCGATACAGTTGCGCTATTTCAATTCCGCGGTGCTATGGTGGATGAAGCACCGGAGTGGCAACGGTAAAAAAAGGTAGCAGTAGTACGCTAGTACGCGGTATCGACGCTTCGCGGCCGCGCGACCACCAACAGTGGCACGTGGGCTAAGGATACTGGTAGAGTCGACCGGTCCTCTACGTATCATCGAACTCACGCTTACGTATTACAAGGCAAGCTTGTGATCCTTTAGGCCAGGGTCCGACAGCGGTCGACGAACCATAGGGAAGTGCGATTTGAAGTGATCCATCCCCCAATACTGCGAGCATTTCTGGCGTACATGAAACAGCGTCGGCTCCTAGAGATTTGGCGTCCATCGGTGAGCTGTCATTATCATTATAAGCTAAGACAATTACTGATGTCTAGAGAGTGATGTAGGGGGGCTTGGGTTAAACTGAGTTTAGAAAATTGGTGATGGTTACACAAAGAAAGGAGCTTACTCTGGGTCGAGAAAATCTGCGTTCATGTCCCATTACTTTGTTGACAAGTAAATTCGGGAATGAAGTGAAAAAGAGCCGATATGGCAAACTCCATATGAGGCATCGATTCCAACTGCTTTACGAATATGGAACCGTTTGAAAGAAAGAGTTATTAGAGTCAGCTGGCTAGGGGATGTAAGAGAAAAAAATACCACACGAAATCCGGACACGGTGGAAATGAGGCACACACACACGAGTGTCATTGACTAACCTTGGAAAGGTGGGGAAGTCTCCAGAAGATTGCGATTCAAGTGCAGACAAATGTCGGCTTGTAAACATTCGGGGAAACTGCGTAACACCAGATTCATGTCAATCCCGTTGGTGTAAGACCAGGCATGCTGGAAAAATTCTTCCAAACGTCGTTTCAACGGGTTGGGGATTTGGTGAAATCGAATGAATTCTTTCACACGCAACATCTGCGCGTGGTATCGAGCGGTGCCACTATACAGTCGTTGAATGATAGCGCTCACGTGGCCGAAAATGCCGGCGTACATAAGAGCTGAAATCAAGCGGATGCGTTTATGAAGCCGAACCCAGTGGAAATCGAATTTAAGAAGAATAAGGACTTACGCGTTTGCGTGATGCGTAGCGGTGGAACAAGATTTGCGATACGGTTATACAAATTGATCAGACCACTCAGTTGGACTGTGCCTAGCACCGTTGAGGGCCGGACCGTAGCCTTAAGGATCACAAAAGCCTGCCGTGTAATCCGAGGACGCAGGTTCGGGCCTGCGCAAGGACTGGGCGACCCTAGCAGTATCCTTAGCCCACGTGCGACTGGTAGTGCTCGCGCGGCAACGAAGCATCGGTACTGCGTACTGGCGAACTGCTGATGCCTTTTTTTACACCGTCGAGGAATATACCGATTGTTTACTTATTTAAGTAAATCGGATTCACATCAGTGTCGTCATTCCAAAAGATGTTACTTTTTACCAAACCTTGTTTACAAATATTTATCTGGCTCGTAAAGGATCTGACGATGAGCTTTTTCAACACATCTGATTACGCAATACTGACGCGTGTGCACTTTTATCGGAACAAAACTTTCTTTTCCACTTCTTTGTGAGCAGATTTAGACAGCTTCCGATCAGCTTATGATCGTTACCCTGTACATAATTGCATCAGCATGATCGTGCCTATGCAGGTGTGCCTCGTGTTGCAGATACATAAATAATTTGTTTATTGCAAAATGTTTCGGAATACCGGTACCTCTGGTGGATAATTCAGTTGTCCATTTGTTCGCCGAGCTTAATAATTTGGTTGTAGACGTTTTGTTATCAATAGAGATGATTTCATCAGTGCAAAGTTGATAGTAGCTTGGTCGCAAAAATCGTACCAAGCCTTTAAATCGGCCGTTGACTTTTCGCCGGATATCGCCGTTATGTTATTTACTGTGGTTAATACCAGTTTTACAATATTTTGACAACTTCTTTAGTCGTGTCCCCAGACACATTTCCCAGCAGCTAGAATGCAAATTCAGTTTGGCGGTAGCCCAATGGCCAGACCTAGCCCCAAAGACAAAAGGTCTATCCACGCCAAATCAAGGTGCATTTACTCGTTATCCCGTTCCTGTGGAATAAGTCACATTGTTCGAACTATCAGTCGCCTGCCTAACAGGTTGGGGGAACACCATTCGACCTGGCTCATGAATGCTTGTCGAAAACCAATCAGCTTAGCTATAACCAAGCATCTCACCGACAGTGGCCATGCAACCTAGTTAATTGAGTCATACAAAGTGATCTATTAGCATCGCACAATCGAGCAAAGTGCGTCCCTAGGCGTTCACTTGAATCTGCCGAGAAAACCGTGATTCGACTGTGCGAGCCGGAGTTGTTTGTTCAGAAACGGTTCGCTCAAACCTTAAGAGTGCTTTGGCCCACTCAAACAGTGACATCTGGCCCACGAGTTGTGCGGGCGCCGCAGTTGTGACCTAAAGGACAGCGATTGTGCTTGATCAGTGATCGTGAAGTTAACGTAATGTACCAACGCCGAAATTGTGTCTATCAGTTTGCTTTTCTGTACATATAATAGTACAAGCCTGAAGAAAAATTACTGAAATAATATGTTCGCTTGTATCGAATTTTAACCCTAGGAATGGACACCACAAGTTACTGTGCCGGTCTATAGTGTAAAAATTATTCAGGACAGTAAGTGCGCTTCATGCTGATTGGTTGTTTATCGATGTGCGTAATGGGACAAGATTAGCTTTGATGAGCTGCAGGAACAACGTTCCAATGTCTTCTATTGGCCGTTAATCGATGTACACAAGGGGAATAGACTGATTCTGATTGGCTGCAGGACATTGATTGAATGTCGTGCCACCGGAAATGTGCCATCTGAGCAGTTGGTGGTAAGCTGCGGTTTACTAGCATACATCCGGAGAGGTTTAGTGCAATGAAGAGGATTAAAGTGCCACCGGCATAACAGACGGCGAACAACGAAAAATAAGTCAACTCGTTCTCTCACACGGTAAACGTAGGTACGAGACCAATTTAGATCAGGGACACGTCAGCCATGCTCGACCGACCAGAGGGACAAAGGTAAAATTCAAGAAGTCTTCGAGAACCGGGGTATTTGAGGGAGGTTAAGATTTACGCCGCACACAAGTCAGTGATAACGTCGATCCTTTGGTGTTATTAGCGAAAAAAGCCGAGCAAAACGGTATTTATCATGAGGGAAATATTTTTGGCTGTGTTAAGACCTAACCGATACATGACAAGCGGTGTCCCGTGCACACACCAAGGACGAATATACACGTAGTTAGCTTGTAAGTCATGGTAGTCCACCGCTGTTCCGTGTGGCTTAGTGACGCAAGCCCCCTGGCGTCGTAAGGCTATGAGTCCGGCCCCTTAAAAAGCCGAAGGATGCGCTCGGGTCACAATAGGGCCGTGTGGTGCTTTTCCGGACACGTGAAAAACTATTTGGCTTGGAAGCTACTGCGAAGACCACTCAAGTCGTAGGATGAATTATATCAATCAACATTAAACGTCTAGCAGTTAGGAGCTTCGTGCTTGAAACTTGTTTGGGATTATCCCCAGGTATTCGCGTAACTAGGTGGGTAGTTAGTTTAATGTAGTATTCCTCCAATGCTTTATCTTCCATAACCAGCTAGATGGACGACGCGTGAGTGTCTCCAAGACGTGGACGTACTGGTAGGTTAACCCGTTGTCGCTCCTTCGCTAAACCATCTACATTACGTACACAAGTAAAGAGGTACAAACTCTGTTATCATATCTCGCCACCTGTGTGCGTCAAGTCGTCCTTTCTAACTGATATAGATAGATTGTTATATCGGGGATAGTTCTCAAGTTAGCAGTTAATCGGTTAAATGGTCCCACTCTCTCTGCTGCTAAAGTCATTATACAGTGCCAATATTATAAACGTTATTAATCACAATTGCTATGTGAATGTTAGTTATTCCTCAAGTCATTGGTATTTTTCTCCCCAGTTATAATACTCCATCTGAAAGAATCTGAACGTCCCTCGGCTGATGTGACACGCAACCTCCGTTAACACACCAACCAAGCGTTAATGGGAGGCGCGTTCCAATTGGACGAACTGTGAGCCTATGCCCATTATATACGTGGAAGCTTCCGTTCGGTTTGTGCATAACGAGGTAGGGATGATCCAACTGCTTCTACTCACGTTTCTGAGGTATTGGTTACTACGACTACTACTGCTATTGCTAATGATAATTCAGGAAGACCGGACATGGAGTACCTTCGGCGGATGGGGTAGCCCATGTCCAGAAAAGAAGAAACGGATGCAAAACCATATTCGATGGGGTGTCAAATCCCTGGCACGGCCGACTCTGAGGATCTCAGACAGAAACGTGACAAATACTAGCTCTCGATGAGGTGCTTCGTGATTTTTGCCATTGCATTGATTGATCGTGTTTCACTCACATTAGCGTAGTATTGACAAGCGATACCTAGTTAGTCAGCAGGCATTCAAAAATGTGATCGAGGCAATGTAGACGGTTCGGGTCCAACAGAACACCAGAGGATCTAGAGCCGACTTACATCCGACCAACATGACACAGATGGAGAATATCTTCTCCGGATTAGTGTTTGGGCTCACATTACCGAATCCGACAGAGGTCAAACTGGAGAAGGTGAAATACAACGCGGTGATGTATTTCGACTGGGTTGTAGGGCCGGTGGATGAGAAGTTGAGATACGGCTGTTGAAGTTGCGTGGCCAAGTGGTCTAACCAACCGATACGCACGTGGTACTGTTGGCGTTCGATGTGGCCCACAGCGTACCAAATGCATGCGAGCCAGTGAGCGATGAGGACGAAAGTGGCCATCAGCAAGAGAAGAACAGCGGCGCCGTATTCCGAATAGCGATCCAATTTGCGTACTACCCGAACCAAACGCAAAAGGCGCGCGGTTTTGAGCAGCCCAATCAGAGTGACCATCTGATGTGACGTGGCATGGAGGAAAACAGACCAGAATAATGAAAGTAACACGTGCGATTGACACGTTGTGCCAGGTGTCGATGAAATCAAAGCCGCTAGGGTGGTGACCCCTAGAAGAGACTGTTGTGCTGTCAGTGGGCCGTTTGAGAACAACATGTGAAGGATACTGTAGCTGGGGATAAGTGTCTGCGTCACTAAACAATCCGGCTAAATATGTTACAGAGGACAAAACGGACGGATCACAAGAGGATAGAGATTTACAAACACATACATGCCGAATTCGTAACAAAGATGGGTGCATAAAAGATCAAGTAGATGTAACCCTCGCAGCCAAGGCAAACTATCCGTGCAAAAGGATAGGCAAGTGTCCAGGTACAGTACATGAGTGCTTTAGGCAAGAGCAAGTCGGGTTAGGTGCATCCGAGCAACATCGATCATTACACGAAACTTCGGTGGATATAATTACATTCACGACTGATAAAAAATAAAGAACAAAAAGTAAATAAAAAGGGGAAAACCAATAAAACAAGAATACGTGGGGGTCATTTTGAGGCCTGCGTTGTGCGAATGGATTGTGACGCGTAATTCCAATCAGGACAGCGGTTCACTTTGAAGTGAATTTGGTCACTGGGACTACAGTTGGATCTGAAGGAAGTCAGGAATTGGCCGCTCACAACTCTTCACAGGATCTCAAAACTTTCAGGCGGAAAAGTCATTAGTTATTTGGCAAACACAACACAGTCGATGGCAGTGTGACTGCATCAAATCCAATGAGGTTTTCAACCAAGGTTGTGGCCGATCTCAAGGTCCCAGTTAAGGAAGAACACATACACCGATTCGGTGGGCTTCATCATGCTTTTCTACCATTGCATCGATTATTTCCCACAGGGTTTCGCCCAGATAAGGGCAGTTCCGACAAGCAATGGGTGCTGGGGTGGCCAGCCAGCTAGCAGACATACTTTGAACATAACCGAATCAGTATGGGTGACTTGTGTTCAACACATGCCCCAAGAGGACCGAATACCAAGAATGATGGATCCTCAGCAACACTGGTTATCGGAAATGAGCAGTACTTCACAAGCATCAGTGGGTATCAATCTTCCTTTCAATGAGGTTTCCCTGGCAAGCAGTGGATAAGCCGATGAGCGGTACAGCAACACGAACCATGTTCCAGCATGGTACCTCATACCTTCAGACAGAACGCTGTGTTCGATCATACCCATAAAAAGCCGCGTCCAGGAAAAGTAAATCAGACCTGGGCGATGGGTGTAGTCACCGCCTCAGTAACTTAACCACCAGTGGCCGTACGAATGTCTGGATAAATAAATTCGTACAACGCTCCCAATAAATGAGGATTGTACGCAAGAACAGACGTCATATCGGCTCCGTTGTGCGTGATATATATATATATATATATATATATATATATATATATATATATATATATATACCATTTTCACTTTAAATTGGACGTTTTGCAAAACCAAATGGACTTTTTGAAGCCATCTTTGACACATTGGATTTCAAGCAAAAAATCAGCAATTTGCTTGCAAGGCATAATGAATAAAGCGACTAGACGATGACTAGAATACATTGTGGCTGGCTTGTCGAACAACCTCCTCGTGGTGCCAGCTGGGTGGTTCGGGATTTTCCCGTTCCAGCAAATGGTTCGGCGGCAGTGTTCCAGGACGTGGTGGGTTTTCGCCTGACAAGCGTTCTCCCTATAAAAAGCCACATATGTCCGTTTAACAACACTGTGACGTGGCGGACGTGACTCGCCACTAAATAGAGTCACTGCCCCTTGCTTCATCCTGGCGAAGCATTGTATTCCAGCAACATCATGCTGTACTTCTGAGGAGCATTGGGCCCCTGTTTGACAAAGGAACAAACGAAAGGTGTATGAACTGAGCAATCAGTCACCGGCTCCCAATGGGCGCGATTCCCTGAATTCGCTCCGCTGCCTTGTGGACAGGCTATTCAGCCAAAGGCTCGGGGTGGTGTCCCTAAGTCAACACCCTACTTCGGCTTGGGCAACCGGGTAGTATCTCGCCCTCTGACGAAACCATGGACATTGTTGTGTTGTGTTTTATTTTACTGTTTCTGTACCTTCGTTTGAAACCCATGGTTTCTGATGGCGTTATGTCTGTTAGCAGACTTTTGCATATATATATATATATATATATATATATATATATATATATATATATATATATATATGAGACATTGTAGTCATGCGAATGCAACCGATATGTGTAACCAGCGGGTGCCACTGTAAACTCTTCTTATGATCTTGAAACTCGATCGCCTCGGTCAGAGACGGTGACTGAGTATCCCCCTATCTGATTTCTCGTAGTTTATGTGTTTCTGACTTTACACATGGACCTATGTGACTATTGGAAAGTCAGACTCCACAATCATGACTTAAACATTGGAGGATCGTTGTGAAGCACTCGTTTTGAGAATGAATTACGATGCGCCATGTCAATGTGGACCGCGATTCCCACTGCGTTAAACCTTGGCCAAGTCGATCATGTGGACCGTAATTGATGCAGCGGATGGGTGGCGATCCAGCTGTTCCTTGTCGCTCTACGGGTCTCTGCGTATTTTGTGTGGGCCAACCTAGTACAACTGCTCGCCTACTGGATCAGTGCAGGCTATCATGATTCCACCAAACACAGCATAGCGTTACCGGCCTACTGCTGCAAGTCGTTATCAAAGAAAGGGGATTAAAATGACTGGACCATGTTCAGACCACATAGTATTCGTGCGAATGCAAAGGGACTATGCAAGCAGTGGGCGACTGTGCAAGCCCTCCACTCGATCAATGGCATTGTTCACCTTGAGCAAATCCGGCGACCCAGTTATCCCCTGTCGGTCTATGTGCTTTCGCGTATTTACTATGGGTGTACGGTTGAACCTATACTGAGGCTGATGTTGCATTTATGATGCTTCTTCACCTCAGTTGGGCTAAACCAACTTAAGTTTAAACTAGATCTTTTTAGATTGAATAAATTTCATTCCAATTTATTTGCTTTGTTCTGCCTACCTGAATAATCTTCTATTAACTTGTACACGATGCTTACGCTAATTGCGCTTATCTTCGTTAACTTTATTGCGTGTGTAGCATATTTCGAGTAACCTGTGGACATTTTGTACTTGTCGCTTATTCGTTGATAACCAAATTACTTCAATGCAAATTTAGGAAAGAGTTATGTCCGCATAGCCGTATTATTTAAGATAATGTCACTTCAAGTGATTGGCTGTTGTTTGACATCGCCGGTGTGGCTGCGCTTGATGTGCATGTTGACAAGGTGCCTACCCGTCTATTACCCACTACCTCGTCCATACTGGCTCTATGAGACAGTTGGCCGTTGCTGGAGGGGACGGGGTGCACGGTCCTTGTGGTCGTGCTAGGCTCTGAGTGTGGTTTCATACACTCAGTGTGGAGCGGACTGCAGTCCAGCCACCGCCTTGTGTGCGCTTGATTCCCAAATACAGCGTGCTTGTGTTCGCCTGTGAAGCAGTGTGGGCCGACTCCGTTGATGAAACGTGGTTCCCATCCACATGCCTCCCGGTCTTATTCCTTCGGGTTTACACTAGATATGGGGTGTGTGGATGGAACTGTGGGTACTGTAGCGCACGCAAGCCCTCCATGATCTCCCTGTAGGCGCAGGTGTCCTGTGGCTGGCCACAGTGACAGACAAATCCGAAACCGGATGCCGCCAACCATACAGTGCAATCACTGGAACATCATCATTATACAAGTCATCCAGAGGTGGGAAACACCTCAGCTTGTGTGTCGCAAAAAGACGGAAAGGCTTGAGCAGTAGCGTCCAAACCCCTATCCACCCTGCTCGATGCGGCAGATAGGACACCGTTGATTATCCTCTGCGGTGGCCAGAGCACTAAGAAATTTTTTGACGAAAGATTCATAGTATTGCGTGAGCAAGATACTCTCAGGTTACCCAGGCCTAGACAGGAGAACGATTAGGGTTCTCAATCAAAGCCTTTGGTTCAAAAACCTGACCGCAAGGCAGCGGGTTGGGCGCTGGGCTACAAGGAGTCCGTAAGGAATAAGGTGCCACCCTCCTTCCAACCCCTAACCTGGAGGACCGGAGGCTGAGTTTGTCTGGCCTCTAATCATTGACCAATCTGGTATGAGTGGATTTGAAGGTGCAAAAGCACCACCCAGCATAGCTCAATGGATCGCTGAGGCACACAAACCATCGCACCACGGTAAGCTCTAGCCTCATTGCAGTGGAATCACTGAAACACTGTTGGCAATTGTGAATCCACCCAAACCAGACTAACTTCATTGGTTTACAGCTGTAGCTTGTTATTAAAGTCAAGGGAGTAAGCGGACTGTATGATATTCCGGCCACATTTTGCTCACGCGAATGCAGCATAAGCAGTGGGCGATTGTGCAACCCTTCCTCTTGATCATGGGCGTCAGTTAGCTCGATCAGAACCGGTGACCTAGTTGCCCTCTGTCGATCTATAGGCCTTCGCGTATCTTATATGGGTGTGTGGGTGAACCGATTAAGCTGCTGGATTATTGGATCAGTGCAGGCTATGATGAATCCATCAGAACCAGCCTAATTTTATTGGTCTAAATTTTCAGTTTTGTATCAAGGTAGGGGATAAGTTGATCAGACGATATTCCCGCCTCATGTTGGTCATGCGAGCAGTGGACGATTGCGCAAGCCATCTTCTCGATCATTGGCGTCGTTCACCTCCATCAAAGCGGGTGACACCTATGGGCATCCGTGTATTTCTTGTGGATGTGTGCGGAGGTTCAAATGCTGCTACTGAACACTAATGGGACACAGTGTAGGCTATCATGACTCCACGCAAACATAGTGTAGATTTATTGGACTACTGCTGCAAGCCATTATCAACAAAGAAAGAAAGAAAGCATTGTGGTCACTCGAACGCAAAGCGACTGTGGGCGGTTGTGCAAGCCATCCTCTTGAGAATTGGCGTCGTTCACCTCTAGCAAA